ATATATATATATATATATATATATACTTATATACTTATATATATATATATATATATATATATATATATATATATATATATATATATATATATATAAGTTCATTAAGTAAAAGGTAAAATTCTGAAAGAATTCGAAGCACAATTTTGCAGTCTCTAACCAATCAATATATCGGAATCTGCTCATCAATAGTGAATATAAGTTTTTGTTGTAGTAATTTTATTGGGCAGACTGCCACAGATCGAAGTCCCCAGATATCTTCTGTTATTGGGAGAATCGAATGATCATCGCATTGATCTAAGAAAATGAAAACAGCTTGAGTATAATTTAGTTTCGATTAGAGCACATAAACCATATCGATCTGCGATGCCATGCAAATATGCACATATAAATAAAACCTCTGTATACCAAAGAGATCAGGTTTTAATCACGATTTCGCAACATTCTGTTTGAAATTATGCAAAAAGCACACAGTTCAATATATAATTCAGAAAGTTAAAAGCAACTACACAGTTTAATTTGATTTTAATAAAATGTCATTATCTTCTCATGAATTTAATCATTTTTTCTTGTAGCTGTAGCAAGGCTTTACAATCGGATTCTTTCCATTTCAGGGCACTATTCAAGTAGAACACGGTTCCATTTTATGAAACTATTCAAGTAGAACATGGTTTGTCAATTCTTCAGCCTAACAAAATGACAACAGAAAGAGTCACTAATTGGACCAATCAATTTCTACAGCGTCCAGTACGTTACCCGTACCCATGTTACTATGCAATAATGTTCCTTCACATTTAATTTATTCAACATAGAAAACGCCATAGTGTTAAAATCATTACTTGCTTTACCTGAAGGTACCGACAAACTTATATATGTTGTATCCTTCAAGTTTCTCTTTCTCCAACGATGCTCTGTACCTTTTATTATAGCTTCATGCGAATGGACCATGTCTTTCTTAAAGAACACTATCTTCACCCAGATCTCCTAGATTGATGCTAGAGAACCGCAAATGATTGTATCAAATAAGAGAAACCACATCATATTAAGACTTGCAGCAGCAACTATAATGCCTAGCAAAGGGAAATCGGAAAGAAAAATAACATAATCAATAGGATTTCTTACACTATTTTAAACAATGTTACAACCAAACTTTATCACTACTAGAAAGAGTGATAACAGTTAGCGGACTGGAAAAATCAATGCCATAAACATACTTGGGTTAGTCTATTTATATATCAACATAAAAAAAAGTTTCCTGAACGCATTCTTGATTTTGAGTTGTTTAACAATAACTACATTTTTTTAACGGTTATGTATTAGCTACACATTTGGAAGTAATTGTTCAAACTGCATACCTGTCTCTGTGTCTGTGAATTCTTACCTGATAAATAAATAAAATCCATAACAAGAATTTATAGAACTCATTTAATACGAACTCATAGAAGATGCATACATTTACACAAAGATAAATGGAGACAAAAAGCACATGAAATATCTTCTATTCTTCTTAATTATTACTTTTTATATTCGTAATCCATTGATTATACTTTTTTCTCTAAATGTTAACAAATATCGTTCGGTTTGCTTTCTTTCTCGCCTTTCTGAACAGAAGTAGAGGTTTATCCTTTCTCATGTTTAGGATTGCATTTCCGGTTCATTCTCATGTCTTTTCCTTCTACTTCACTTCCGGTGCCTCTTGCATTTTGGTGGCATTATTATCTTGCTTGTGGTGGTGTCTCTTACACTGTAACACTCTATATCGAGTGGCTCTTAAGCTTTGTACATGTTGAACAGCATTCTAAATAAAATTAATAAATATGAAAAAATTAATAAATATGATATATGTCTATTTTTCAACTTAACTCTTGTCTTTCAAACTTTAAGCGACCTCCGCAATCCGAAATCTGTTTTGACTTTAACCCTTTTTCAGCCAATTATTTTGGAAAAAAATAAAACGTTTCATTTTCAGACATTTTTACAGTGCAACCTCCGTGCTCAAAGCTCTGACATGTCGCACAAATCGAACAGAAAAATTCGAGATGAAAATGTCTCGGTTATCGAACAAAACTTCGGTTCTCGAACAACTTTGCCGAACCGAGTTAACCCGAACGGAATAATTTCTGTGCCGACCGCCATGTTGTGTACATTACTATGTTGTATTTATTTTCCATTTTTATTGTGCTATGAACGTCTTTTCACTACATGTATTCCTATTGGAAAAATAATTTCGGTTTACGAGCATTTCGGGTTACAAACGACCTTCAGGAAGGAATTATATTCGTGAAACGTGGTTTGACTGTGTTTTGGTTTTTATTGTCGTAACTAAGAAACTGAGGCACCTTGAAGTACACCAGACGTATGAGTTGACAATTGAACTCAGAAGGGTATAAGCCGAATTAAGATCGACGCCTGTAACTGATCTTTGAAAATTATGCTTTGAACGGGTTTATTCGTCTATGTCTGAAAAGTACAAACACGTGTACTCCGGAAAACGGAATAAATAAAGGGATGATAAGCCGTAATATCAAATCGGTCAATCAATTTTTCTCAACAACGATGATGTATGGTTTTCTTTCCACAAGGATACGATCTGTTTCGATGCAGAATTTCCGCAAGAACTTGACTTGGTCCGATTCGATTTGTTTTTTTCTTATATTTCGGTACAATTTATCTTCGACGTCAAGTGCATGTTCTATATAGGTAGCAATATAGATGAGAGCGAATGACAGTGTTGTGTATTCTTTCTGGGGAAGCATTCCACAAGCATTAACGTTATGGGTGACAATTACCATCCCCAATAATTAAAAATAACTGTTATTCTCATTACTTGTAGTAATATATCAGGAATTCTGAATCTAAGATTGCAATTAATAGATCTTATATTGGTCAGAATATCATGTATGATAAGACGGGACAATTCTCCAGTTTGCAAAAACATGGATTTAATAAATTCACATGTGTGATTTGTTGAATATATATATATATATATATATATATATATATATATATATATGTTTCATTAAATAATATAGACAAGTGCTGTCGATTAAAATAAATTTAAATATTTAAAATAAATAGACCACACTTGTCTATACTATTTAATGAAACGTACATGAATGAAAAAATGCTGCCTAAATACACTCATAATATATATATATATATGTGTGTGTGTGTGTGTGTGTGTGTGTGTGTGTGTGTGTGTGTGTGAAAATATATAGAAAATAGGAAGGAACTGGTTAGGTAAATAATCCAAAGTCCCTTAGTATTTTACTTATTATTTTTAAAAAATAGTGCTCGATACAAAAGTAGAGCATAAATATAATTATTTATTTAAAAATATGATTCCAAATCGCTACATAAGAGTTCTCATGTTTCAAAACAAGAGCTGAAAACTACAATATAATCCTTTAAATTAAATTGAATTTAAATTAAAATGGGCTCCGTTCCATCTTCAAGCGAAATTTTTGTTGGAATAACGTATATCTGAAATTTACTTGTTTTAAAAATTGAAATCAAAATCCCCATGGTAACAGCTAGGGCGAATTGTTTAAATTGGGTAGGCGAGTGTCGGGTGTTAATAATAAATAGCGGTATAGAGATACTTTCAAGATGTCAAGTCGGGGAAAGGTGGGGGTGTCTCAAATGAAACGGAAAATGTATTAACCTTCGTCTAGTTTGCTTGTCTATGGATATTTATTTATTTTATTTTATTATGAAAGGGAATTGTGCATATAAAAAAAGAAAAACTTTCGTAACGTTTGTTTTTTGACGACTTCATAAAGGGTTATCTTTTATGTACGGTATTTAAACTACTTATTTGGGCTATGGATTATGAAGGGTGTTATGTTGTATGCATGTTTGTAGTTAATTATTCCTACTATGAATCTGATGATTGGGCTATTTGTTAAACAAGTATATAATTTTTTATTTTTTTTATCTAATCAGACTTCACTATCAAAATATATTTGGCACCTGAAGGAAACAAATAGGACACCAAAAGTTAAATGGAAAATTATTGACAAGGCTAGAACATGTAAAGCTTGGGATGACACATGCCCTTTGTGCCTCCATGAAAAATTGCACATTATTAAACTTCTAAATAATAATAATCTATTAAATAATAGACACGAGTTAACGGTTTTTGTAGGCATCATCAGATTTTTGGTTTGAATTATTAGATAAAAAAAAAATTATATAACTTGTTTTGAAACATGAGACCTCTTATGTAGCGATTTGGAATCATATTTTTAAATAAATAATTATATATATATATATATATAAGAGAGAGAAAGAGAAACCTCACACGTTTCTGGTTGTAATGTGAATATATATATATATATATATATATATATATATATATATATATATATATATATATTATGCTTTATTTTCCATAATTTTGCAACACGGGTTTCGGGTCTCGAGAACTTCTTCAGAGAAAGTGTGGGTATTTTCACATATTATTAAACTGAATTAATTTTCCGTATGTTTTTCGATGCTAAACATTCTCGATGTCAAAAATTCTTTCTTGTGTGTGGTAGTGACACAAATGTCTTTCTTGAACTGGCAGTGAGAACATTCCTTGAAGGTTAATAAATCAATTAAGATTGGTCCGAGAAACGGTGGGGAAAGTTATCTGCATTCTTATCTTTTCAATATATAGACCTTTCTCTCGTTGTAATGACTGTAAACTCTTCTCATTATATATATATATATATATATATATATATATATATATATATATATATATATATATATATATATATGGCGCAAGAGAGAAAGCGAGAGTGTGAGTGTGTGTATTTGTGTATTTATTTATATATTGTATGTGCATGTGGGAGGAGCAATGTGTTTTCTGCTACAAAGAATGTTAGATGCTTCAATACGCACCAGAGGCGAAAGTAAACCTACGTGTGTCATCCAGATTTCAAATGTGATGTCTTCCTTTGATCTCTTCATATGCGAAACAATTATTCTATCAGATTTATCATTTCCAAGGGTGTTCAATCATATGTACATATATCAGTAAGAAAACATAGAGAGAGAATGAGATGGATGGATACATAGAAAATGAAATATAGAGATAGATAGAAAATGAGGTGATTCATAGATAGATAGATAAAAAGATTGTATATAGATAGATAGATAGATAGATAGATAGATAATAAGACTGTAGAAAGGTAGAGATTAAGGCAATAGATAGATAGATAGATAGATAGATAGATAGATAGATAGATAGATAGATAGGACTGTAGAAAGGTAGAGATTGAGGCAATTGATAGATAGATAGATAGATAGATAGATAGATAGATAGATAGATAGATAGATAGATAATAAGACTGTAGAAAGGTAGAGATTAAGGCAATAGATAGATAGATAGATAGGACTGTAGAAAGGTAGAGATTGAGACAATAGATAGATAGATAGATAGATAGATAGATAGATAGATAGATAGATATAGAATAAGTTTGTAGATAGGTAGAGATTAAGGCAATAGATAGATAGATAGATAGATAGATAGATAGATAGATAATAAGACAGTAGAAAGGTAGAGATCGAGGCAATCGATAGATAGATAGATAGATAGATAGATAGATAGATAGATAGATAGATAGATAGATAGATAGATAGATTGACATGAAATGAAATAAAGATAAATATAGAGAAAGAAAATAAAAAGCAAATATCGATAGACAGATAAACCGATAAGAACCAAATTGAAAAGATTCGCACTTAAGACATGAAGAGACTGATAGATGTACAGGAATCATTATCTGACTATGGCAAATATACATGAACATACATTATGGTTCATAGTCACATTTCGAAATATTGACGAAAAATCTATCTATTCTGTATGTTTATAGAAACTATATTTATCACTTTAATATTAATATTAAAGATGCGCGTTTTTATGATTATTTCATTACATTTTGGATAAATTATTCTATTTAAATACGTATTTGCATTTGGGAAGTAGATATAATTTTATAAATTTACGCCTGAGTTGGATAATATTTGGATAAACTTTTGGCTCCATTATATTCTACTAATTTTGATTATATTCATAGACATTTAAAAGCAAAATGTACTTCAGATTACTGTCAGAAAACGACTGAGGAAAAGACAATTTTGTCCGGTATATTATCTCTCTCCTTCCAGAATGTTTTTTATTTTATTTTATTTTTTTATCCCTGCATTCACTTCTAAAAACTAATTATATTAAAGTGACTCCCTTTATAGAGAGTTAGATTCATAAAATATATTTAAATCAAAGATTCTTGAATCACGTGAGTAAAATATGTTACTAAAATTTCTATTGAAAATTCACATATCGATTTGTTAATGTCTTCAGATTACCAAGAAATACCGTCCGAAAAGTTTTCCATCATTAAAATAGAATTTATAAGAATTCTATCGGAAGAATAATAAAACGAGAGAAACATTGATATTTGTTAACTCAAGTGAAGCCTAATTTTAGTGATATGTAAATGACTGTCTAAGCTTTAAAGGTAGGGGTATTTACGATACTCGATACATCGGGCTTCCGTGATTACGTGTATCTTAGCAAGTTTATCATCTTTCAGTTGTGTCCGTGTCTTGAGACAGAGACCTACCAAAAGAACTGCGGTGACCCGTCCCAGACAACAGCTGCCCGCGGCAGTACCACAGCCATTGCATCTAAGAGATGCTAGCGCATCCGACGATCGCAGGGGCTTGCCTATTTGGGAAATTTGGCCCGGATTTACGCGCTTGGGTTCCTCACATTTAACTGAACTTCTGTCGCATACTGGCTGCAAAGTAGACATCGAATATAATACGTGAGAATGCAATATTCGCGTATTTTAGTCGCAAGACGAGTTCGATCTTCCGACAATTATTGGTCATCTCACTGCTATTACCCCTCATTTGGGATATGGTTGGCTTTATTGCACGGCACCTGAGGCGTCATCAAAATGGAGATGGTCCATACCGCCGATAAACCCACATTAAGCACGACCTTGTGTCCCATTACGCTTCGCCGTGGGTGTGCATCTAAATACCGAATATTATAGACGGGATTAACGACTATCGGTGGACTGAGAAATATATGAATTAAATCAGATTCTATAACACAAGCATACGAAGAGGACTTTTAGCTACAAATCACTGATTAGTTAATTTGGTTAACTTTACTAAAATCTCGAATTAACTAATGTGATTCGAGTGAAGGGTGTTATGAATACTATTGATTTGAAAAAGAGAAAGTGTAAAGGAGAATTGCAACTATAGAGACGTCTACTTCAAATAAGAAAGAGGCAGGCTCATCTATTTGTGAAAATAATGAGGAAAGAGGCTTGGTGAGTATTTTTTTTTAAGCATTTCACCCCAAGCAAGGCGGGAAGCCACTAGGACGCAAGGGGTTAGAGAAGGTTTAGAGCAAGATCAGATAGGAGTGATAGAAAAAAGGATGAGGGTAGTGGATAGATCAAGGCAACTGGAGATGTCGATTGACATTACACTTGAATAGCTGGAGATTATAGCTCACAGATAAACTGGAATAGGGAAGGGAGTTACACAGGCGAGAGGTGCGAGACATGAAGCTATTAGAGTAGAAGAGACGGCTACATTTAGGAGTTTCGACAGTGAAGGGGTGAGAGCGGGATGCCAGCCTCGTAAGGCGCTGGAACTCATGACGTCTGGGAACCTGTGAGAAAGTGACTGTAGAGGAGACTCCAGGGCAGGGCCAACTACATTGCATATCCGCCTCTGGAGCCTATCAAGAACCCCAAGGCAAACAGAAGGGGCACCAGACCATATATGGCAGCAATCTCGCCGGAGATATTTAAAACAGGAGACAAAGAGAACAGCGCATGGCCGACTTAAAGACTTTGCGCTGGTGGATGGTAGAACGGCGACGAGAAGTACGTTGCTTGCAGCTACAGAGAATACGAAGGTGTGGAAAGCCACTTCACGAAGTGACACGGTGCATAAAAACAAAGAATCAAACAAATATCTTAAGGAATCGAAATGGATTAAGAGTAATAGCCGCGGTAGGCACTGGAATCATATGAAATACTTGAACAAAAATGAAGTTTAAAACACTGGCTGGAATAAAGCAGTAGGGGAATAGACTAATCGATATCGTAATATTATATTATATTATATATTGTAAATGAACAATAAAGAGTAGATCTTGACAGCTGATATCTGATATAATTCTATCAGGTCTGTGTGGGAAAAAAATGGCTGGTCACATTCAATGTCTTCAAAGACCAATATAGAGGCCTTTCATCATCGTCTATCGTACCCAGAACTTTCACCAATCGTGTGAACGGATGTTTCTTTAGGGAGGCCCCGTGTCTTGACCGATTATTGAGACAAGCTCAACTCTGACTTCAAGTGGAACCTACGATCCATCGCTAAAGATGCTGGGTAAATGATTGTTCCCCTGTAACGCTCCACAAACCACCCCACTCCTCCTGCTATCCTCTGCTTTCACAAGAGCCAGGTTAGGCGGAAAATAAAGCAATGCTGACATATATAAGCGGGATTGCCTTGTCTTTACTTTCCACGCGATAATGAGCAAAACCTATCCACGTCCTTCTAAGCGACAAATTACATTTCACTGTACAAACACATTCTCACAGTTGAGTCGTCGAAAGCCTCTTACTGTTCTATCTCTACTCCAGTGGGGAGTGTCCAGATGATCTACACTCAATAAATCCACCAGACCTAACCTTTACGGCTAAGATCCGATATGCCACGCTCATTGTAGTGAACTACCAACATTTATTTTTATATGCCCTGCGAATTGCTACCCTGTAGAACCTAAACCCAAAAGGCTGCTTCCCGATCAAAACAATTTTAACCTGTTCAAACCTCGTAAATTTGGCAGTAAAGATGAGGACGACGGCCCGAACAATATAAATAGTTGAAGTACTTCATCTCAGAAATATATAGAGAGATATATTTGTTAATCCCATATTTGTTAATCCCATTTTTGTGATTTTTTTCCATGAATTGTTTGGTAATCTTATTTTATAATCTTACTTTTTATTCTTCCTTTGCATATTCTTACAATGAGAACGTGACTAAGTGGTTGGAATGTTCGCCATGAGACTCGGGTTCGAATCTCACCATGGTCGATTTGTCATTAGAAACTGCCTGAAAACCATACCCCGGTTTAACCTAAGCCTTGTGAGCGAAAGCCGTCATGCTAGCACGAAGTCCCAAGTCATCGTGACCGAGGTTTTGACCGTACTTGCCTTGTTCAGATTGTTGATCATGCTAGATAACACGCAATCTCTTAGAAATTGTAACCAAGGTCCGCTAAGTATATTTACAGGTGGGTTCTCTGGGTGTTGAACATACACAAATGTGCCTGTGTAACGGGGATTAGCAAGACGCCCTAGAAGACTGACTTCCTCCTTACATATTTTATATTGATAGAATAATACTGTTATGTTCCATGTTAGGACCAAAAAAGAACAACAGGAACACAAGATTAGAAATAACCAAGGTATATTACACGAAATAATAATACAAGATGTTTGGAGTGAACTACTATCGGCCCGACTCGATTCGACCCTCTCTCTTGAGAGGCGTAGTATACATAGTGTTAGGAAGAGTTCATTCTGTAGTTATAGGTATGACACTTACTGTATAAATATCTCGTATTTCTAACCCTTATTCACTTGAAATATTTTTAAATCAGATGAAATTATTTTTTTTTAAATTAAAAAAAAAAATATTTTAAAATCATATTCGTTGAAAATATTGTTTTTAAATAAGTCAAAAATATTTTAAATATTGAAAATATGGTTTGTTTAAAGAAAGCTGAAATATTAGATTGGTGCAAAAATAATGACATAATAATGTCGTTTTATGACGTATTTTTTAACGTCAAAAACGACATTATTACGTCATTATTTTTGCGCCAACCTAATACAAATAAACACGGAAGAAATCACAGAGAGGTGGAAAGAGAATCATTATGCGCGTGGCGGTCGCCGTACGCACGATTCACAGACTTTTACTGTTATTAGTATTTTAATATTACATAGATGGATATATTATATGTAGCCAGAGGACGTGATACAAGCGTATATACCTTTTATGATAAAGCAAGTCCGTAGAAACGCTAAAGTTTCGAATTTCTCGCGCCTGACGTGTGAAGATGCACAGCTCAGTAAATCAAAATCGTTTTCCTGTCGCATTTTATTTGTTTTATCAATTCTCTTTAAATAACCCACCCTGAACTACAAGAAGATGTAATACAAAAGGTGAAATCTAAGAAAATGAACCTAATTTTACTGAGGAAAATCTGTAAACTCTTTATATATTTTCAACTTACTAAATTATTTTCTCTTTTAATTAAAGAACATTTATTTTTAAGTTGATATTATGGTCAGATTGTACGAATTCTAAGACTGAAATATCTATAAAAAAATATTATCTATATCTTTATTAAAGATATATATCCGATAAAAAACCACGCGGCATATTGTTCAAATAAATCAATGAATAGCGACACACTTTTTTTTTTTGAAAACGTCAGTTACATAATGCAATTTTTATCGGAAACCATTGGAAATCAAAACCTAACAATATACACAATATTTACATTATTCGGACTACTGTCTTCATCTTTGTTGCC